GCTGCACTCGCCGTAGAAATGCTGACACTGTGTATTTCATCGCAGGAAGTTTCAATCACAATACCTGCAGAAAGAAAATGTTTTCATGACAATAAGAGATTTGGACGCTGAACAATCCGACCACGCCGATGCGCACTGCGCGAATTTCTTGGGCCTGGCCGATACCCACTTTTTTCTATCGTCATTGCATCTTTTTTTTGTCTAACTTTTGTTTCACCAATCGAGTAATTCTTCTTTTTTTTCTATCATTCCTCTCTCGTTCGGAAGTCAAAGCGGCTTTCAGATTGATCCATAGAAGACATAATCCGAACATCTAAGGTGATTCGGAGTATTGGAGTGAAATCGAGGATCAGAGACGTCAAGTAGGTCCGGAAAAGAGTCGTATATGCACAAGCGTCCCCAATTTAAGATCCGGTACCACTGCACATGTCCTGAGATCTTGAATGCGTAACGTCGTATGACACGTGATCCCACCGATGGGAGGTAGTGTGATATTTTGATTCGAGTTTGATTTAATGAAATAAAAAAACTCCTTTTCGCGCCAATTGCATTTTGGGTTTAGCGTGGTCAAGATACAGACATCCGCCCTCATTTACTCGCGACTATTGGCGGGCGGGCTGAACGGTGCCTAGGTGACAGGTGAGTTAGCATCGAACTCAATTCTAACAGGTATGCTTTCAACTTACCGTCGCCGCTCATAGTTGACGCCAGATAAAGTCCGTTCATGCCACTTTCTTGGGGACCAGGGGCGGTGGTGGTGGGGTAGAACTTGCGTTCAGCGTCAACGTGAGCGTGGATCGGCTCCTGGCCGGCGGCCATGGTCTGCTGAGGGAAGACCTGGTTGATATAACCGTCGGAACCTCCGGGCTGAAACATCGAAGTCCAGTCAATTTCGCCAGCATGATTGGGAGTGGGGCCAGGCATGACAGGGCGCTTAGGATCTTGAATAACCGGGGGCTTTACCTGCTCAAGGGGAGGACGGTCAACGTTCAGTTGTTGGCCAGAGGCATCAGCGCCGGGCTGAACCATGTACGGGCTCTGCTTAGGAGCAGCAAGCCAGGGACCTCTTTGTTGAGGCTGACCGGCAGGATAAGCGTCCTCGGGAGGACCGCGGTTCATCCCATTCACAGACGACATGGAGAAACCCAAAGGCTGCTGTTCCGTGTAACCTGGACGGGCGGGAGCCATGCCATTGCCGTTCACAGGACTCTCAGCATACGTCGCACCGGGGAGACCGTTGGGAGGCGGGATGGGATTGTTGACTTCCTCCTGAACAGGCTTGACAGCATTGGCCGCAGCTTGGGATCTCTTCAGATGCGCCTGGGGATGCGACAAGTGAGTCGCTCCCGTGGGGTTACCACGTCTCAACGAGCACTTCTGGAAGTGGCGCTTCAAGATATCACTGCGGGAGAAAGTGTCCTTGCAAAGAACACACATGTAAGGACGATCGCCCGTGTCTGTAACAGACGTATGCCCGTTAGCGCGATACAACTTGCGATGCAACTCTCACCGGCTGTAGTTAACTTACGTCTGAGCAAATGACGCTTCAAGTGCTTAGCATGAAGATATGTCTTATTGCAGTGCGGGCATGGGAATTTTCCATCTGCATCCTTGGCGGGAATTGTGGTGTTCTTGGCAGTTCCATTGACGCCGTTGGTGACCGGAGTCGCGCGTCCCGGAACGCTCGGAAGGATACCACGACGGCCCTGCGAGCCAACAACCTGGGTACGAGGAGGCTCCTTCGCAGCATAAGGCGCAGCGCCATTCGGGCCTGCCACGGGATCCTGGTTCATCCAAGGCGAGCCCTTAGCATCCGAGTAGCTGAAAGCACCCGACGGAAGTGCGGAGTAGTCGGAGCGACGGTCACGCGGCGGGGCCGGCGCAATCGGCTGAGGATAGGACTGAGCACTCGACGCGGGGGGGAGCACGCTGTGCGGAGGAGGATAAGGTTGCGACGGCTGGGGCTGGGCCTGCGGATTGTGGTGGGAGAGGAACGAGGACGGAGGCAAGCTACCCACGGTCGTATGAGGCATGATAGGAGCCGCGGAGGTCGCGTAGACATCGTGAGTTGACGCGGGATATCTCGAGAGATCCGGCCGGTAAGGCTGACCCATGTAGGAATGAGGGGCAGGAGACTGGGAGTGATGAGGCTGGAGCGGGGGAAGAGTATGCGGCTGGGACACCGGGTACTGGTGCTGCATGGCGTACTGAGGCATTGGCATGCTTGAGATAGGTGTCGAGGAAAGAGGCGTGGAGCCCTGGGGCAGGCTGGTGGATGGGGGCCGTGACGGATGAGATCTGGGATCCATCGTTGACGCGGGGAGGGTGTCAAACAGGAGGGGTGAGGGTGAAAGTGAAGGGAATGGGGTTTAGGACTCGCAAACAAGGATTTCACTGTATCTTGATCATTGATCGCAGAACGGAAACTAGGACCTTTCTGCAATTGTGTTGCGATCAAAAGGCGAAGCTTCGAGGATGCGAAAAGCTTTTGCCAATGTCACTGACTTCAAAATCCTGATCGCGTCCTGGTCGACGAGAGGATTTTTTTTCGCTGTGTGAAAGTTTTCGGTCCCTCCTTTGACTCTCCTCTCACTTTTCTCTGTGTGTTTTCTTTCCGGAGACGGAATTGGATGCTTGTTCCGGACAGACGCGAAAAGGAATCAACAGGTGTTGTTCGGGGTGGTGAGTTCGGATGGCAATGGACTCAAGGGCAGTCCAAAGGTCGATGATAGAGATGTGCAGGAACAAGTCCGACTCCACTGCAGAAAAGAGGTCAGGATGAGGTCGAGATGCTTAATCTGAATTCCCCACGGTCACCCACCAGAAAATCGAGTTGTGTGGGAACTTCTTTTTATCCGCACGTTGTCAAAACAGTCAATGGTTCTGATCCACCAGGGAGGCGGCGTGTAAGTGGGTCTAACAGAACCAGCAGCAGTGCTAGAGGGAAATTTTGCTAGTCAAATTCTGCTTCGCGTCAACAATGCGCAGGATTGACCAGTACTTTTTTCGCTTTTCAATTCGGATGGGGTGAGGAGAATAAAGAAACTGCCAGGGACAACGCGTATAGATGCGGAGACCAGGGAGTAGGAAGAAAGATGGAAAGTAAGGGGGGGTGGGAGGAGATGGCACAGATGGAAAAAAAAAAAAAGAAGAATGATGGATGGGTTTGTAAGGAAACAGAGAAGAGAAAAAAATGTTAAAAAAATATGAAATAAAAAAAGATGAAATAGGAAGGGGGAAAAAGAGAGAGAAAAAAAAAAGAGTTGCCTCAAAAGAACGCACCCAAGGTAGAGAGCCGTTCTAGCAGTAGTACTAACTAGTAGTCACGGGAATGGAGGGGGATAGGGTGGGAAGGGGGGCGATGAATAGCGGCGGCGGCAGTAAGAGAGGTTAAGACGGATTGAAACCTCGCAAAATCACAAATCACGGAATATTATCAGTTTCCGACAAGCAAAACAAGTGGTACACTCTTTAGAAGAGAAAGGGGGACGATACTCTTAGACGAGTGCGAAACTAATTGAAGGTTAACTGTGGATTGGCGGTGACGATCCTAACTCTGGGAGGCAAAATGCGCACCGGAAAAAAGTTGTGTACTGCTTGAGGAAATTTTAATAATTTGGTGGCATTAACTTACCATACTTTTGGCTACTAACACTGGTGCCGTTGAGCTGATTCGTGCCTCACCCGGTCTCCGAGAATCGAACAAGAGCCGAACGGGGTCAATCTACTTCTAGTATCCTGTTGAGTGTTAACTTAGTACGGAGTACGTACTGGACTCATACTATCTACGGAGTAGTGTCTGGTGATTCAACTGTACAGTACTGTACATTTGATCGGGAAATCAAATCCTCTGTCTTTTCCCAGTAACTTCCAATTCATTCACGGTTGACTTTGCTTGTATCTCTGGCTCTGTGCCAAATGAACGGCAATTTCGGCACCCAACCCTTTCCGAAAGGTCGCCCCGGAAGAGCAGGGAAACGAAGAGATCCTTTTGGGAGGAAATCTAACATCGAATTTGGTTGGCACCAGCGGCAAGCAGGGGAAAAAAAAGAGGGCTGAAGACGCTATCCCGACGGCCGATGCTCGTTGGTTGGCTCATCGAATTCGATTAGGGAATCAAAACTCGAGATTCGACTCGTTGGTGGGAGAGAGAAAGGGCACGTCGGGCGTGTACCGAAACGAGGTACCTCGATGGTATCCTTGCCGCAGACAGCTACGTAAAAAGATACTTGGCAGTAACTTCGTCGTTACCGGCCTTGCAGCCTGCCAATCGTAACCCAACAGGGATCAGGCAAAGACGCAAGCAGGTAGGCAGACTGAGAGATACCGTCATGATCTTGTTCTAGCCTTCCAGACCCGAGCCCGTCAAGCCTACGTAGTGAGTCCAGTGACTCGTTCTGAATCTTGATGATGAGAACTTAACTGCAGGCGTTTCTTCGGGTTGAGGAGTTCTATTTTGGGTGTCCATTGGTCGAGCTCAGTTTTGTCCGTGAGCAATTGTGAGACTGGTTTCGTTTTCTCTTGGTATATCCTTTGTCTTGATATTATAGTACAATAGTCAGACATATTCTGACTTATCAAAAGAATATCAGGTGCTGGGACACAATCATGGATGAGGGACATACGCCGTGGTGAGTAACCTAACTGGAAGTTAATGGAGGGGCGGAATGGTGGGAGGCTTCCTATGCAGCCGTAGATCGGGCTCCCGGGGGGCGACGGATCCTACTAACCTCAACTAGGACTGGTAGGCCCAGTGGGTGATCAAAAACTCAGGCAGCAGCCCGGTTGAAGCATACCAGACGAGTGGGAGAAAGAACCCTTCATCTCTCCTTCCCTCCAAGCAGGCTATTCGGTTATGTGTAGGTAAAGTACTGTACGCCGGTTTCAGGTGCACTACCTAGTAAAACCCTTCGATTTCCTTTTCCGATCACGGTCCAGTATCTCGGCTTCTCTTACCTGTGTACTACTGCAATACATGCACTCTGAAACCATGGCTAATTCGAATGCGTTCCTTGTTGACCTCCTATATCCTGGGATATACTAGTCGACAAACACGTACCAAAATATGCTTGATGTCATGAGGCAGGCGGACATCTGCATCCTTTCTCCGCAGTTGACAGGCCCGCCGCCGGCTCCATACTGGTTCCTCAGCGCTCAGTCCCTCATGGCACATCCACAATTCCACATGAGCTAGAGACTAGAGTAAGGTAGGGCGACACGAAACCTTATCAAAGTTATCATATTTGCGAGAAAGTGGAGTGGCATCCTGTTCGAACCTGAGCTCCTGGCTTCATGGGCGGGAGGAACAATGGTAGAGGCTGCCCACTTCGACTCCACGGCTGTCAAATAGTCAAATCTCGATCCAGGAAGTATAAACTCCATACCTGAGTAGATGAGCGGACGATGGAGACGTCCTTCCCTCCCGCATGGGGCTTTCCCGACCTCCATCTGCATGTTGGATCCCATGTTGGACCCATGTAATCAAAAGCTGTAGGCACTGTGCGATGAATACTGACTACTATGTATTTAGATCGAGCTACCTGGCCACTACAACAGTCATCACCTTTTCGATCCTCAACTTCATACACACCACACTCCCAATGACGGTATGGGCCGCCAATTCTGCCGCTCATATGCGGGCTTCAACGCGCCTCTGCCACTCGGTCCTCCTTCGTCATCATACCACATCCCCGGCCGTGAGGTGCCGGGGAGGAAAAGGTGGCATGGATTTCTGCGGTATCATAGGGAAGCTCAACGGCGAGCATGCATTACAGTACTTTCTAGCCGGCTGTGTATTGATCTACACGGAAGAAAGCACTTTTGCCCTCGGTCCGTGCTACACGTATTGCTGGTCAATTTGCAAATTGCGTAAGCCGCGGCAGGAAATGAACAAATGAAACTCTTCCAGTGCCTGTCCCGAATGTCTCTTCATTTAATTGTCAAAAATCAGGAGTTCTTCTCACGGAGCAATTCTCACCCCCCCCCCCCCCCCTGTCTGCTTGAGAAGCACTGAAAAGACGATCTGAGCGAGAACTGATTCAGCTGCGACAAAATTCAGCCACTCATCGAAGCAACGTCAGATAGATATACATCACCTGCATCGCGCATAGACCTTCTAGACTGATCCGTCACTGAGACTGTCCTTCGGTCGAGATTGTTTCGGACTTCAACTAATTGCCAATTCGATGATGCCACGCACCTTGTTTCATCCCCGATGGCAGTCTAGCTCATATCATATGCCCGTGTTCTAACTACTACTGTACGGAGTACATTTTCCAAGTCTCAGGACCGAACCGAATACCACCCGCGCCTGAACAATTCCATGGGTGCGGATGTGAACCGTATCCTTACCCCTTTCGGTTCAGTAAGTATGATGAATCAGAAAACATTGTCTCAGTCCATCATATTTCCTGCAGTCGAAAGATTGTTGTTCGGATTTGAAGCCAACAGTTCAGGATTCCAGCTCTCCTTTATTCAACACAACATAGTTCGAGAGACCCTTTTTTACGTTTTGTTGCCCTTCCCTTTGCCCATCATCTGCATAGTGCATGCCCCCCTCCCCCCAAGTGACCGCCCATTTTCGAATCACCACCGTCATTTTAGTACTGTCCAAGATGGGTCTCCCGTTTAGGCTTCGTTCGTATCGGCGGGTATTCTCCACCAGGAGATTTTCGCTGGGAGCTTCTCCCGCTTCGATTGTGGACCTTCCTTGACCAACCCTACCTAAGCCTTAGGCAAAGTCCAAAGTGGGATTCGAATCCGTTTTGGGGACAGTTGATGCTCTGTATCACAACAGCAGTAGCATATCCGAACCTCTGACTATCTGATCTGACCATTGCATCGATCCCATACGGTCGGCATCCGGCATTGGAATTTTCCCAACTCAAGAGAAGACCTCTCGCTCACGTAGCATTCATTACACGGTACGGAAATACATGAAACAAGTTACAAGATTAAGACAAGAAAAGAAAAAAGCTCATCAAGCGAATAGTCATCCATTTCGGAACACCGCGGATGAAGAATCCCGGGGGTCGGCGGAAAAGGTAGGGTGGTTGAGTCAGTAGTACGTACAGTACCTTTTTTCGACCATCACTTTTTTTGTTAAGTTTATTTCGCTCTTCTCAAATCTCTTGCTTCAATCTCGTGGCGGCTACGGAGCGCGCTGGGTGGTCGAAGAGTACTAGTGAGAAGGATTTGGGTTCGCCGTCTTCCCGGAAGCAGAGCGCAGAGTAATGGTACGTACCACTCAATTTTTTTGCAGGAACCCAGCAATGATTTTTTCTTCTGCTGCGGTCAAGCCCGCACTAGACCACAAGAAGATAAGAGAACATCAGACTACTGTTTGTGGTCGACTTTACGGAGTACCATAGAGAGAACCCAAAATTCCCTCACAAAAGACGACTGCAATCACCGAGAAGACGATGAATTGGTTGAGTAATAGCTTCATAATCTTGTTTGGGGAAAATAAAAAGTTGCAAATGTGAGATTCCATACCGAGCTAAGCAACATTTTCCAACGATGTGTGTGTGGTAAGTTTTCAAGACTTAGTAGTACGTAGTACGGAGTACCTCAACTGTCTATCAGGGAAAGAACAAAATACGTGGTTGTCAGACACAACCCAAGCTGTTTGTACTGTACCTACTCCGTACTCCGTAGCAGTCCATTCTGCAACAATCCATCCTCGCTCAACTTGCCGCTTACGCCTTTCTCCCCGCCGCATCGGCGCGGACAGGGCTTTTTTTCCTTTTCCTTCCTGCCCTTTCCTTTGTTTTCTTTTCCTTCCAAGGAAATAAGCACAGCAAAGAGACAAAATACAAATGATGACCAGTTTATCATCATCGTCATCATCGTTGTCTTTCGGCCTTTGCTTTTTTTCCCTTTGGACTGCCAACCCATTCGAGCAAGACTGGCATGATGTATCATGGTCCCAGTGGAAGTGCTCCCGGGCTCAAGGGCAAAAAAAAAACCCCCCTGCACGTCGCCCAATGTGGCGATCCGATCACGGCGGCATGACCAACCCGTTTTTGGTGCTCCACAAAAGCCCAAGCGGAAGCCGGTGGGATGGGCTCCGCTCATGGAAACTTCCACGAACAAATTTCGACGACCAAGCCAGGCGGTGTGGGAGGATCCCCTCTAAACCTACGGTATCTGGTCCGAATACTCCAGGCTCCGTATTCCCCAGCCCTAGACTACCCGTAGTAAGTGTGTCGGTGACTGAGGCAAGCAGAAAAATGCATCATGCAAGCCGATAGGTAGATTTTGAGGTATGTATGTGTCCTTTTTTTTTGTGTGTTTCTTGAAACAAAAAACTGGTACTGTGTGGTAGGCAGGGTGGAGTTTCGGCATCCTCTGTCTACTACTACTTGGTGAGGAGGGGAACTCGGGACTGACTCGCCTAAAGGTGCTTGCTCAATGGTTGGTGAAAGAAATTGTCCGATGGGATCGTCGTCTGCTTGCTTTTTCATCATCACAAAGCTTGGCTTTCGCTTGTGAGACTGCTGAGTGATGATGTCTGTCTCAGTCTCGCTGGTCGTGGCTGCGATAGATGTGCATCTCGGCACTGAGTGCTACTTCTGCTACAGCCTACGTCCCAGACCTACCTTACCAAAGGCCAGGCTAGCGCTGCTTTCTGTACGGTGTATCAGCTCGACAAGAAGGACAGTTGCCAGTGTGATCCATCTACGTGGCAGGAACAGAACAGAACAATAAACAACGCAGCAGTGTGGCTGGGGTAAGGTAAGTAGATCCAAGACATAACAGCGCCAGTAACCATCACCACTACGGTCCCTATCAAAAATGGCTCAAATAGGTAATCATGATGATATGCTAACTACTGATACGCTCAGGTTCTAGTCAGCACTCTAGTCCGGAGTATGGACCCCCAACATGCAAAGGTAGGAAGTGGGAGTGTGCGAAGACTACCGAGAGGGCGACATCACCGACAGGTACAGACTACAGGACTCCGGTACAGTACTCCGTACTCCATACCGTACCGCTTGCAGATCGTTCGTTCTGCGCTTCTCTCCCCGGTCTCTCTCATTCGCCCGAGTCGGGGATGGTCCGCAAGATCGTAGACAAGGAAGTGCTGTGAGTCGGGGCCTCCTGGAAGGATTGACCGGGAACTTCCCTCGGCACTTTTACCCTGGCCAGGGTTGTTTTTCCGAAGCTGACCGGAGTAATGCCGAAAGACCACGCTATCCTTCTGGATTGGGTTTTCACCTTTGCACCTTTTTAAGTATCGGCTCGGTTTCGGAAGTGGTGCTGGGGTCGATGCACCAATCAGATTCCGAAACATTGGCGAGGCGAGAACGCCACACACCTCATCTAACCTTCTTAGTCCGACCGAGGATGACCAGGCTTTCTTTCCCAGTGGCCTGAGCCTTGGAGTATGCTGGTGGTTGTTGTGTTGTTGTTGTTGTTGTTGTTGATGATGATGATGACGATGTTGCTGTTGTGTGTTGAGCAGTGTCTCCCTTGTCCGTAGAAGTAGGATTGGCGCTGAGCAATCTAGGATTCGCTCAAATCTCCCTAGATCCTTCGTCAGGATACAGGATCCATCCTCGCAGAGTTCCAGTTCATAGCCACCGAATCGACAAGTTGATGGAAGACTGGTGTGCACTCCGTACTGGAATTAGATTTAGCCAGGGTCTGTTTGTTTCTTCTGTTTCGGGGAGGAGGGAACCTGGGCGGGGATGGGTGCAGGTGTGGCTTTAGGCTCTTCCCCTACTGAGCCTAGTCAGAAGCTAAGTTAAAAGATGCCTCACAAGAAAAGACCTACGCTAAACAACCAAAACCCGCGGTTTAGTCTAGTTACCATCCTCCTGGTCACGCTTGGGGAAAGTAAAAATCCTACTGCCTAAGGTTGATTGTTAGTGAGGGTTGCTGCAGCGCTGCGCACTAGGGTGCTTAGTGTCAAACTTGGCACCCGGAGAGATCCTTCCTTCCTGCCCCTCCAGATAACTCTGGCTTGTATGTACTGCGTACATTATGTACGAAGTATCATTTCCGATGCCATGACTGGCCGGAGTTCTATGGCGGAGATGTATGCAGTGATGTATGAGTGTGCATCTTGAACGTTGAACAATCAGGTCATGCTTTTGACAAAGAACTAAGCCTGTGTCTCTGGTCTTTTGGTATCTATCGACTACTGCTGCTAGTAGTCCATGCATCCGACGGAAGGGAAAAGGAACCACGAGTACTCCGCGGGCGTAGCTGAGGATGACTTTCGATCGAACGATATCTTTTTCTTTCATTTGGAGTATAGTCTCGCCAGACGAGACGAATCCAAGGGAATCAAGTCCAATCGGCCCATGGTCGCGTCGATCCGCCGCCATATGGATTACAATCTTTCCATCCCGATGCGCACTTCAGGGCCAATTGTGAAGCACATATCGGACGACGATGGGAACCGGGAGAAGGCCGCGTCATGAATTCATCTCGTCTATGAATCTTTCAACTCGTACACTTCCTAAATTCCCTACGGAATAGTAGCCCATCATCACCAAACAAGAAACAAGGTTCAAGCAAGCGGCACGCGAGGAGAGCGATCCTCCTCCTCCTCCACCGCACCGCGCGCGGGCGGGGAGGGGCAACATAAACTTTGCTGCCTGAGGCGCGATCAGATAATGAACAAATTTGCAGGGATAAGACATAGTATAGTAATCGCAGATTAGCCTTGATATCTGATACAGTACTGTACGTATCTACAGGGCACAAAGTACAAAAGTAGTTTTAAGCTATCTCTTCCAGTCTCTTAATTCAGAACCGATTGGATTTAAATTATGCCCTCTTACTTGTAGAAAAGGAGATTGCCACTGACCAACCAACAGAAACTGGCCATCCTCTAGACTACCCAACAACAGCAACACCAACAATAGCAAGCCACAACGCGGGCTTACGGTGTACGCAGTCGACCTAGGTAGCCGACATACCTCGGACGGAACCTTGATGCCAACCGCCTGATA